TCCAGTAGGCTGAAATAAGCTGCATTATCTATGGCCACCCGATCCGGAAACCTTTCCCATCAAATGAATGGAAAAGTATAAAAACATCCTGCATTGCCAATGGACCTTTTGCACCATAGATACTGTATACACACAAGAATATGAAACAGGATGTGATTGATCATTGTCGCCGGAAGTGATGTATCGTTACGTTTGCACACACGTGTATAAGCATGGCACAATCAAAATAGTGAAAGAGATCCAGTTGGATTACTTACTAAAGCTCAGGTCTACAGCTATAGAATGGTTACAATTGATATTCTAGTACTATAAAAAGTGAAGATTTACTATTACAAGAAAGAATGTACTGTGCTAAGTACTACAAATAATTATTAAAATTATTATAATTATAATGATTATTCTATTCTTCAGTCACCAAATAGACTGATTATTATTATGAGTCTTTCAACAAATTTTAACTATAAAAATAGCAATAAAAAAATTCACAACAATTATTATAAGCACTTACTGTATCACCATACAGTACACACTGTAATGTACATCATCTCTTTCTTCATAGCTCTCTGTGGCAGCATAAATATGAAGGTTTACAATCATGTAACAATGTCTCATCAATGTCACTGACATCCTGCTTGTGTTCCTTGTAAATAACCTATTATTTCACTACTTCTCACTAAAAATTAAACCACACCCCTTAAAACACTTGCAAAAAATACAGTGAAACCTGCTATTGTGGACACTCTAAAATAAGGACACCTCTATAATCAGGACAGGTAGTATCAGTCCCAATACAATATAAATGTGTATTAATGAACCTCTGAAATAAGGACACCTCTATAATAAGGACAGTTTTATTTGGTCCCAAGGTGTCCGGAATAGACAGGTTTGACTGTATATTATTACTATTGAAACATAGCATCTAGAAAAATGAAACCATAAACAGTCTACATAAGAGACCTTAATAAATACATTCAAAGTAGTAACTTGTTCATACCAGGTGCAGAAGTCTCAAAAAGAAGGTTACAAAATTGATATCAAAAACTAGTTCGTGGCTATTATCTCAGTCATTTCTCATTACATTGACAAGAGAATAGTTTCAGTCCATGTAACAAACAATACACTATTATGATTCCAAGAGTTACTATTTCAGTCCATGTAACAAACAATACACTATTATGATTCCAAGAGTTACTATTTCAGTCCATGTAACAAACAATACACTATTATTATGATTCCAAGAGTTACTAGCAACTCCGTTTGAGAGTCTAGAAAAGGTGGTTACCAATAAGAATGGAGGGCTTATAATTTTGTCATGTAAACATGAGGCTGTTGACTAAATGAAATGAGAATATATTTATAAAGTTTACTGAACAAAACAAAAACATCTATATAACTTATATTACAAAATAAGTTGTAGTATGAACATATTAACTAACTCATACTCTCATACATACACACCTTATTAATACCGTATAGCTTGAAATTTTCGTGGGTTGATATTTTTGTGGTTTGCTCCTAGTGGGGCAATTCGTGGTTTAATTTTCGTGGTTGACAGTTTACATAGCCTGTAAGGGGATGGCACTTCAATGATTCCTGGGTTTAAATTTCGCGGGAAGCCCCTCAACCACGAAAACCACAAAATTTACATTCCATAAAATTTTCAAGCTATACGGTGTGTAAGAGTTGTTATTATTATTATTGAATGATCATTGATTACAATACTACATAAGTTACTCAAGAAAATTCTTTAAAATATAGACAGAGAGAAAAGCGCCAAGGATAGAGCTACGCTGATTATGATGTTTACAGGTGAACTTTAAAGAGTTAATTGGACACCGACTTCCTGTTTCATATCCATGTGTGTATACAGTATCTATGCTTTGACACCCTTTAGTAAAAGGTGTCAAGGTCTAGGGCCAAATATTGCCAAAATTGAAAAAAAAAATTCTCCATTTATATATGTTTTCTGATACATGTACAATTGTACATGTGCTTATGTTATGTAAAAAGTTTGAGCTGATTCTGATCAAAATTAGATGTTTTATTATTATTAACTGGGCTATACTATGGATTCAGTTAATAGCAAAAGTATGATAGCTAAAGAACAATGATAAACAAAAGAATTTTATTGGGCGAAGCCCACTAGTTCGAGTAGAGTATGTCTGTCTGTACACGTACGTCACCCCTATTTATCCGTATGAAAAATTTTCCTATTTTAATAACCTAATCTTAATCTTCTTTGAAAACGGGCGTGGTCACAGTGAAATAAAATGGCGCCAGCTATCAATTCTTCATTGTTCTTCATGTTCTTGACCTTATAAGTTACAAGTCACTCACTTGAGTCAGCAAGAATGCAAGAGAAGTCTCTACTGTGAGCTTGTAAAGCCCTCACAACTACTGACTAACCTATGACTGCAGTTACTGTCTCTGGCTTCCAACACAACTTTTTTGCTGCAGAATGTGATAAACTGATAAAGAAAATTTGTATTTCCAAGCATGATAACTTCATTACAAACTTACAAACTACTGTATTTACTCATGTACATGTACAATAATGTAGCTCTATACCATATAACCTTTAAAATATAGCATGGCTAGGGGGCTGAGCCCCTTAATGTTTTACATTCGTCTAGTAATAATATAATGCTTTACTTGTAGTTTCTGATGTAAGAGACAACAAGACATGTCAGGATGACTCTTCCCTAAACTGAGACAGTTCATGTACATGTACATAATGTAAACTGATAGTTAATTATAGTTACCTTGGTAACGCTATACCATTCTCCCACCTGTAGCGCAGTTCATGTATCACTTCATACCAAATATGAGCCATTGCTTTAAGACCTAGAGACACACAATACAATATGATCTTTGATAGTGTGTGTACATATGTAGTGGAATGTACATACCGTATAGCAGGAAATTTTTGTTGGGTGCTCATTTTAATTTGTTTCATTGCCAAAAAATTTGAACAAAATTTTAAGACAATAAAATTTTAATCTAACTAAAATTTTGACCCACAACAGATCCTCTTTTCACTACAGCCACAGCATAGCAATCGGTGGCATTATCAGGTTTGACAAAGAAAGGCAGCTCTTCTTCAACTGATGGGCTCGAAATGTCTTTATAAATGTGGTAACCACAAACCATAGACATTCTTCCATCTTATGTGGCACTAATTAAATAGGTGTGACAGTGAAAAGTATAACAAAAATAAAATCAACGAAACGATCTTGTAAAGCCTGCTTGAAAAGACAATGAAAGTTTCTGGCAACTAAAACTTCCTGCTACAATGTATACATAAATATTGAATGTACATTGTGTATGTCACACTAAGTTTATACATACCATAATCATTATGAATGTTACAGAAAGCTTTGGCTAGACGCATTGTGAGACTATTAGGAGGAGCTGACTTTAATTCACGAGTGAGAGAATCCTTAAGATAAATAATGATAACATGATTATTGTGTAATGAAAAGATAAGACAAACTTCAGTTAATTGTTCATGGCCAGAGACACTGCTACCA